AGGCTGTAGTGAGCCATGATGATAACTGCTGTACTACAGTCAGGACAACAGAGCAAGACTCTGTCTAAAAACCTGCATGGGTAAACTGAGCAGTAGAATCAGTGTAACTGAAGAGAGAACTCATGAATTAAGAAAGCTAGGAAGAAATTATCCAGACAGAGTTAGAAAATATGACAAAGTTGTTAAGTTACATGCAAGATAGTAAAGAAATTTAACATGTCTAATGGGAGTTTGAGAAGAAGAGGGAGAATGGGGCACAGACAATATTTGAAGAGATGATGGTTGGGAATTTTTCATAATTGGTGAAAGACACTAAAGCCAGGCACAGTGGCTCACGCCTGTATTCTCAGCACTTTGGGAGGCTGAGGTAGGGCTCTCCATGTTGCCCAGGCTGGTCTCAAACTCCTGGCCTCAAGTAATCCACCTGCCTCAGCCTCCCAAAGTGCTGTGCTTACAGGTGTGAGCCACTGCAACCAGCAAAATTTCAGTTTTTGAAAATACTGATAAAGTAGGCAAACTTTTGAAAAATGACGAAATACAGAAAAGGTACAAATTAACTGTTAAGAACAATAAATTAGGCATAAATGTGGATCAGTAGAGTTTTAAAGGTAATAGGAAGCCAGGTACAATGGCTCATGCCTATAATCCCAGCACTTCGGGAAGCCAAGGTGAGAGGATTGCTTGAGGCCAGTTTGAGACCAGCCTGGGCAACATAGTGAGACCCCCGTCTCCACAGAAAATTCATTAATTAGTTTGTCGTGGTGACATGCACCTGTAGTCCCAGCTGCTCCCAGCTACTAGAAGGCTAAGGTGGGAGGACAGCTTGAACCTGGGAAGTGAGGCATCAGTGAGCTGTAATCTCTAGCATAGGCAGCAGAGCTAGACTCTGTCTCAAAGAAAACATAATAATAATTTTCAAAAATTAAGGTAATAAGATAAATTTATGACAGCTTTGTTAACAATTCAAAAATAAATTGCACAAATTTCAAGAAAACCCAAAACTGTTTCTTCAAAGAAATGAGCCATGTGAGTGGTTTTAAGACTGCTCATTAAACAATTTGAATCAGTAGTTAAATTCGTTGCCCTATTCCCGCCCTGCCAAAATAAACTTAATAAAAATGGAAAAGATACTCTAAATTCCTGCCATGCTCAGATGGTTCCACACGCAAGTATCAAACATTGGATAATTGCATTGTCAGTTTATCAGTGGAGATGCAAAAAAACATAATAAAAACAGGTAATTCCAAGCTTACGTAAACTCAGAGAAAAGGAAAAGAGGGAGTACTTCCTTCACTGGTTTTATGCAGCTAGTATGACCAGAGTACATACAAACATTGTGTATGTGAGTGTATATGTCATGACCATGTAGGTTCAGCCCAGGTTTAATTTTTCTTCTTTTCTTTTTGAGACAGAGTCTCACTTTGTTGCCTAGGCTAGAGTGCAGTGGCACGATTTTGGCTCACTGCAACCTTTGCCTGCCAGGTTCAAGCAATTCTCGTGCCTCAGCCTTCAAATTAGCTGGCATTAGAGGCCCGCACCACCATGCCCGACTGATTTTTTGTATTTTTAGTACAGATGGGGTTTTGCCATATTGGCCAGGCTGGTCTCAAACTCTTGTCCTCAAGGGATCTGCCCACCTCAGCCTCCCAAAGTGCTGGAATTACAGGCGTGAGCCGCTGCGCCTGGCCTAACACTTTAAAATTTATTAATGTAGTTCAAATTCAGGAGAAAAACCCTCTTATCTCAAAAGATCAAAACATCAAAAAATTCAAACGTTTGTGATAAAAATTCTTGGCAACTAGGCACAGGAATGAATTTTCTTTTTTTTCTTTTCTTTTTCAGACAGTTTTTTGCTCTTTTGCCCAGGCTGGAGTACAGTTGCACAATCTCGGCTGACTGCAACCTCTGCCCCGGGTTCAAGAGAGTCTCCTGCCTCAGCCTTCGGAGTAGCTGGGATTACAGGCGTGTGCCACCACACCTGGCTAATTTTTGCATTTTTAGTAGAAACGGGGTTTCTCCACATTGGCCAGGCAGGTCTCGCACTCCTGACCTCAGGTGATCCAGTTACCTCAGCCTCCCAAAGTGCTGGGATTACAGGCGTGAACCACCGCACATGGCCACATTCTCTTAACCTGTTGACAGATATACTTTCTGTGAAATTTCAGAAATTCTTTTAAAAAATCTTGTTTGAGTCAACAGTGCTTACCCTCACTGCTTCTATTTTGCATTGTATTACATGACCAAGACACCACAATAAAGGCAAAGAAGTAAAAGTGAATTATTTCAGGGGAATAAGCTGATGAGTTATTTGTGGGTTTTATTCTATTTAGATAACCCCAAATCTGTATACAAATTAGTAGAATTAATAAAAGTTTAGCAGAATCCTAGTGTGTTAAGATCAAAATATAACGATTCCATTCTTACCTGCCAAGAACAGACAATATAATTTAATAAAACATAAAAATAAAGCAACTTTAAACAAGTCTATAAAAATTGAGTAAGAACTTTGAAAAAATGATCAAACTTTACCAAAAGACATTGAAAAAGTTAAACATAGAAGATATAATGAATGAGAAGACCAATGTTATAAAGCTTTTCCCCTTAACCCAGACTTTCGCATAATGCCAGTCAGCATTTCAACAGGTAGTATTGTGTCTGCACGTACATATGGAAGAGAGCAAAGGGCTTAGGAAAAGGTGAATTTACTTGTCCTGCCAATTAGCAGGATGTCCTTTAAAAAAAAGCTCATCACAGGCCAGGTGCAGTGGCTCCCGCCCATAATCCCAGAACTTTAGGAGGCCAGGGCGGGTGGATCCCTTGAGGTCAGGAATTGAAGACCAGCCTAGCCAACATGGTCAGATCCTGTCTGTACTAAAAATACAAAAATTAGCCAGGTGTGGTGGTGTGTGCCTGTGATCCCAGCTACTGGGGAGGCTGAGGCAGGAGAATCGCTTGATCCCAGGAGGCAGAGGTTGCAGTAAGCCAAGATCACACACCACTGCACTCCAGCATGGGCAACAGAAAGAGACTCTGCCTCATATATTAATTAATTAGTTAATAAAAAGCTAATCACAGTATTGTGATGTCATGTAGGTATGAACACATTGACTAGAAGGCTGAGAAACCCAGACACACATAAGTGCTGCTTGATAAACAATGAAGGTGGCATTTTAATCAGTAAGAAAGCTGTTAAGTAAATTTATTTCAACATTAGTTAGTTATATGGAAAAAATAAAGTATATCCCCTCTTATCCATACATACATAAGTGACTTTTCCAGTAAAATATTAGCAAAATAGTATGCTTTAGAAAAATACAGACCTTGTGTTATAATTTTAAAACTTTCTAAATATGTAAAACAAAACCACATAGTTATTGGTTGTGAAGACACGTATTTACAAAAAAAAAAAAAAAAAAAAAAGGGAATGCTGAACACTGCGTTTAGGTTCATGTTACCAAGTGCTGGGGGAAAGTAGAATACAAGAGGGTTAGCAAAGAGAGTTTGTATTTTTTAAGCTAAGTAAGTATACATGTCCATTTAAAAAGTCTTTGTGACCTAAATATTTTATAATGAGTTTAAGAATTTAAATTCAGTTGGTTTTTCATGTTCACTTTGCCTTTGTGACTGCCTTGATTTAGCTCGGTGACTTCCTTAGGAAAGTCAAAGGTCATCACTCATAGCCTTGCCAGCCAGCCAGGCAGGCACAGGTATCTAGACCAGTAGCGTCACATTGGACAAATTGATTTATTTCCCTGTTTCTCGGTTTTCTCATCTGTAAAATGGGAGTAATTACTTTATGTGCTGTGAGGATTCTGAATTGACTCATATATAGTTGTTAGTAAATGGTATAGCTTTTCACTTCTGTATAGATTCTAGAGTTTGTGTATAAGTTTTTCCTTAAACTGTTATTAAAAGTCATTGATTCTTAACTACTTTTACTATTTTTTTAATGCCAGCTTTCTTCCATTGCTCTTTACCTTCCTTTCTTGAACCTTTTTCAAGCTTTAGGATTTGCTTTCTGCGTTACTTCTCTGTAAGCTTTTTTGCTTGCGGGGGTGGAATTGATTTTGAACAACATAAAAAGCCAGTGGGAGTTCAAGTTGGTTGTGGTTTTCCCATTGAATTATGACTGGAGAGGCATTTTGTGCTCTCTGGAAACCAAAAAGGCCCATTTTTTTTTTTTTTAAGTTTAATCGCTACTCATACTAGTCTGATCACTAATGATTTTGTGTTTCTGAATTCATTTTCAGTTTTATGTCTTCATGGTTCAATAATTGCTGTAATTTTTTCATAACTGCCTACAGCATTGAATTATCTTTGGGCCATCATTTCTCTTGGTACTCCTAATACTGATTCTTTTTAGCTGTATCTCTCTCTTTAGCTTTATCTTTTCCTTATCTTAGAAACTTACTGACATACATGCTTTAAAAATAGAAGTTTAATGCTACATATCAAAAACACGTTTATTCGCTGGGGAGCTATCGCTTCTATGATGGCTGAGTTAAGAAGGTAGACTTTTTTGTTTTGGGTTTGTTTTTTGTTTTTTTTTTGCATTACTCTTATTTTCTATAGTTTTTTTTTTTTTTTTACAGTGACAGCTAATATTTTCTTTTTTGGAAATTTGCCAGATTCGTAGACCATAGAAAAGAAAATTTAATCTGGGAAAAATTATGGGAAATGTCCTCAAATGGATATCACTTCCTTGTCTGAAGAGATAACATACTAAGATAGTTGGAACCTAAACAACTGCAGGTCCATGGCTCCATCTCAGGAGTTCCTGCTGTGTCCGTAGAACAGTTACGCGTGGATCATATGCACGTGTGTGTGCATTCTCACACAGGGGGACGTGGCAGACCTCATGTGGAGGATCTGCTCACACACGCCGTTGCTCCCCTGTAGTTGGCTGTTTAGTGCCTCTCTTCTGGGGCGTGGGTACTTTTCTTGAGTAGGTGGCACTTACTGGAAATGTTGTGAAACACTCTTTTTGCTATGTCCTCCAGGTCGGATCCGCACAAGACGGCAAAGCTCTGGGAGTGCCACCAACGTCGCCTCTACACCTGATAACCGGGGCCGCAGTCGCGCTAAAGTGGTTTCACAGTCCCAGCGTAAGAAACATATTTTATGGTCTTGCTTACCTCAGTTTTATTCAACAGCTCATTCTGCGGTTGAACATTTTACAATCTTTATATTGACTTCAGAGGGAAAAACACATTTTTTGTGGCTCTAAGATACTGTGAGTATTCTTACTGTTTGTTGGGTAAGCTTAAAAAATGAAACATTCCAGGCATACATTTGTCTCCTGTCCAGGTGATTTACATTTTCGTATTGTTAAACATTAAACATTAAACATTAAAATGTAGTTTTTCTCCCTCCTTTGAAGCCTGTCAAATTGTAACTTAACCTGTTCTGTGACTCATTTTTGCATTGATAAGGAATCCTTCTGATGTAATTTTAGAACGGTACCTTGGGCAGAAAACTATTAATGCTATGTTCTTTCCAGTGGTAAATAAGTAAATCCATTGAAAGCTCTCCCCCTTTAATTCTGTGCTCTAACATTTGCGGCCCACACCTCTCTTCCTGCCATGTGGGCTCTTGCTTTGCCTAGCTGCTTCCATGATTGCGTCTCTGTATATGTGAAGTCAGTTGGTTTGTTAGCCTTAGCCATGAAAGCAGCCACAGCTGGAATGAATTTATTCTGGCCACTGTTCAGATCCTCCCTTGGTGTCTCACTTTCCAGCCACACATAAACTTTAAGGGGCCCGCTTCCCCTGTGTGCATGTCGAGTAGAGCTGGGTAGCAGAGTGCTCCTGGGCAAGGTGAGCATGGGAAGGAAGTCTTCCTGTCCCCAGGAGCTGCATGTGGTCCCACAGCATAGCACTCACTAGCTGACATTTGTTTGCCTCCTTTGTGACCCAAGGAACTGTCTGTCTGTTGTAGAGAGTGCTCAGTCTGCACAAACTTTAAGAGCTCTCTTAGTATAGAGAATGGCCTTGCTTAACACCTTCTGAATTTAAATTCTTTCCCTTTGATAACTGCAGTCCTCATGTTATATAATTTCTGCAAAGAAAGCAGAAGATCACTTGTAGTGCTGCCTTTGGTGAGGCTACAGAACCTTCCTGTGGCCTAGGTTGTGTTGTGTAGTGTGATACACTACAAGCATGGGCTTCAGTGTCAGACAAAACTGGGTTTGCATCCTGGTTCCAGTGTGATGTTGGGTGAGTCTTTTAACCTTTGTGAGCCATTGTTTCATTGTCTGTAAATTGAGTGATAACAATTCCCACCCGCATGGGGTTTTCATGAGGATTTAATGAGCATTAGGAGCTTAGCATGTGATAGACAGTAAATGGACACAAGCTTTATAGTCATAATTGCTTCAGATCAGCAGACTCCCATCCTAGCTGAAGTTGAGCGTCCTTGATCCCTGTCTACTTCAGTAGGTTTAGGAAATAAGGCTAGGAATGGATTTACATGATAAGGGATGCAGTTGAAGATAGCTTGAGTCCATTAAGACCAAGAATGCTCTCCTTACTGTAGAACTTAAACTGAGTTTTCATTCAGATCCAGGGTGCAAGTGTAGTCCGGAAGTGTCTATCTTGGGAACAACTTCTTGGCTCTGGTTATTCTGTTGAACCCTAGTGATGCCTGGAGACACAAAAGGTTATTTGACTCATACATATGGGTCAAATTTTACTGCAAAGGAATTGTTGACAAAAAGTGTTCAAATCTCAGAACCTAGGTCGATATAATGAAATTAAACCAAATAAAAAATGTCTAAGCGTGTAACTATGCAGTGTTACTTCCCTCTGTGGAGGCTGAGGGTTGAACAGTATTTTACGTGTTTCATTCTAATGCTGTTTATCAGCATTGGGGTCTTTGGGATTCCCTGCCCCAGCTAGGTCAATGCTGTAGTTTTCTCTCTTATATTGCAGGTTTTAGGAATGTGTGGGTTACCTTGGCAGGTGGTGAAGATTACACTTCCTTCTCTAATAGTTGTTAGGGTGATAATACAGCTTTAATTTTTCAGTCTTATAAAAATACTGTACCTAGCCTTGGGGCTCCCCTTTTAAAACTCCTTAGTTTTACTTCACTCACCAAATTATACTCAGGAAGAGTGACCACACTAGCCAGTGATCAAGCCTGTACTTTCAACTTATGCATGTAAATTAAAAGTTTAAACAATTATTTTAATAAGTGGTAAATATAAGCATATATATCACAAATGTAGATATACTAGTATTCATAGTCCTGATTTAATACTAAGTAGGCTTCATTAATATTAGATTTAGGGCCCTTAATAATTGGCATATTTTAAATATTTGAGGTTTAGGGGAAGTCAGGACAGGTGAAACTAGTTAACAGCAGTTTCAGTTAGTTGATGTTTATTGAGCACTTACTATGTGGTAAGCACTTTTGAAGATGGTAGTGATACACAGATGAGTACGTTACAATCACGTCCCTCAGGTTGCTTAAAGCTAGAAAGCAGATATGAGCCTCGCACATTGTAGGTTTAAAAGTGTTTTATGAACAGATCTGAAATAAATGCTAATGTAGAATGACAAAGATAAACATAAGTACAAAAATAGAAGGAACAAGTCCTAGGAAATATAGCTGTTTTGCTAATGTATTTGTGAACAAAGACCTTTGTGTTGTGTTGCATGCTGACCTTCTGTATTGTGTTATTGTCTTTTAATCCACTTTTTGCCTGTCCTTTGGTCTGCTCTCATAATCAAGGATCCAGATCTGCTAATCCTGCTGGTGGTAAGCCGTTTCTCTTCTTGCCTTTTTGTTGTTGTTGTTGGCATTCTCCCCGACCCCATGCTCCCTGCACAATATTAATTTCTCTCTTTATTGTAAGCTTAGTTAATCTTTCTGCATATTTCTTTGTGTTCAAATTCTAGAGTTTGAAATGGATTTCTTTCCCCTTTATACATAGTTTAATAGTTTATTAGTATGCTCAAATTTTATGGGTAAGATTAGTAGGTCCTGAGACAAATTCTTCATTGGTTTTTATAATGATTTTTCACTTCAATTTGTAGTTAAATCATTATAAACTATTAATTTTTGTGAGTATTCACCTAAGTGTTTCATTTGAATGATGGTGGTTTTGATTTATATAATACTTATTTTTAAATAATATATATTTAAAATAAACACACATATAAATTTACAGGTAAGTGTTGCTTCAAATGTTTTCTTCCTCTGGGTCGTTCTATTCTAGTACATAAAAAATGTATCCTTTATATTTTAGAATTGTATTGCCTTCTCTACTTAGGGAAGTAATCTATCAATGCAAATGATTGCCATTTGAGTGTATTGGTGTGATGCTTAAAATTTTGTTGTTTTCTCTAAGAGAGAATTATGTCCCACAAGAAATAGTAATATATGTATCTAGCTACTTATCTATTAATAAAAATTATCAGCCATATTATTTGTTTTCAATTTCCAGTTTTATTGCATACTTCTCAGAGATTGTGCTCCATGTTATTTCTACTTTTGTAGACTTTTTTTTTGAGATTTACTCTGAGGCTTAATACACGATTTTTGTTTTTAATATTCATGTGCGGAAAGGTAAAAAGAATGTGTGTTCTATTTGTTGGGATATATATGTGTATGTGGGAAGTGTGTGTTTGTATACATACATGTACACACACAGACACAATTTTGACTGCTCTGTCAATTTCTGTGAGGTATATAGTTTTTCAGTAGTATTAGTCTTTCCATGAGGTCTTTCGGTAGGTGTGACTTTTTCCATTTCTCCCTGTACTTTTATCATTTTTTAGTTTTATATTTCAAAGCTGTGTTGTTTGCAGCATAAAGGTTCGTGATTATTGTATCTTCATGGACAATTATTCTTTCATAAATATTAAATATCCTTCTTTGTCTTTTTTAAATGTTGTGTTTTATTCTGTTTGTTTTTGTTTGTGGTGTATTGTTTGACTCTTAAAAATACCAGGCAGCTGAATTTCATTTTATTTTACTTTGCATTTTCTTTTCTTTTTTTTTTAAAGATACAGGGTCTTGCTCTGTTGCCCGGTCTGAAGTGCAGTGGTGTGCTCATGGCTCACTTCAGCCTTGACCTCCTGGGCTCAAGTGATCCTCCCACCTCAGTCTCCTGAGTAGCTGGGACTAGAGGCATGTGCCACCATGCCTGGCAAATTTTTAAAAATTTTTGGCGAAATGGGGTCTCCCTGTTGTTGCCCACACTGGTCTCAAACTCCTGGGCTCAAGTGATCCTCCCACCTTGGCCTCCCAAAGTGCTGGGACTATAGACATAAGCCACCAGCCCAGGCTTGTTTTAATCTCTTTTAAATAGATGAATTAGTCCTGCCACATTTGTTATGATTAACTAATATGTTTGAACTTCTATCTTATTTTGTGATTTTTATTTACCAGGTTTCTGGTTATTTTATCCCCCTACTCCCTTTTATATCATTTGTCAGATTAATAGAATTTTCTTGGATCTATTTTCTGTAGCTAATGCTTAAGAAAATTGTTACAGTTCTACTTCTGCTCTTCTAGCAGTGACACCTAAAATTTTTAACATAATCAGCTCTTACAGAATAAAAAAACCAGAACAAGAATAAACACCTTTGTAGTATTTGTAGATATTTACTGTGGAATAAGGAGGCTATTCTACCAGTAATTCTTCTAAGTATATTCTTTTATGATATTCAGTTGTCTTTTATGCTCCTACATTTTAAAAAATTACCACCAAATAAAAATTTATTTTTATATAAAATGCTGTATTTTAGCCAAATTAATGTGTAAAACCTGGCTTTTGAAAGTATTATAGTTTATTCCTACATTTACATCTATTATTCATTGTCATTTTGCTTCACTTTTAGCTGGCAGCCGGTCAAGTTCCCCAGGAAAATTGTTGGGAAGTGGTTATGGTGGACTTGCTGGGGGCTCCTCACGAGGCCCACCTGTGACACCGTCCTCAGAAAAGCGAAGCAAGATTCCCAGGAGCCAGGGATGTAGCCGGGAAACAAGTCCAAACCGAATAGGATTAGGTAAGGATTCTCAAAGATCTTGGAAAACCATTCCCGGCTTGGTCATAGTTTTGATTATAAGCTAATGACTATGTCTAATGTAGGAAATATAGATCTATTTTTTGAACTGAGGATGTCACTTTGCCTGGTTGTGCTTTATACAGATTTTGGCATATTGAGGTTTCAGTTAGAAAAATATGTGGGACTTAACCATTCAAATTGATGGGAAGGAATTATGTCATTATAGGCTTTTGTATTTTGCAGTCATTGTACCAAGCACTGGAATTGGGGAAATAGGGTGTTTCCCCCACAACTAGAAGCAGTGTTGCTTTTAATTTTCCTTTTACTGATTAGCACTAAGTAGACATTAACCTATATGAATTTTTCAAAAACAACATTTAGGGTCCACATTTATTTTAATTCTGATCTTCTCTAATTGGTGAAACTTATGGTTAAAAAATATGTATAGTTACTTCTGACATAGATTTGTTTAAGCATACAAGCTAGGAATTGATTCAAACCAATATATAATATTTATTTTTGTGTTACTTAGCTTCTTTGTAATAGTGTGTAGAATCATGTGAATTACTCTCAGTAGCTTAAATATATTTTACTCCGTTAAAATCTAATTCATATACTACCTTTTTAAATATAAAATTTAGAAGTCTTTGTGATATAATACAAAAAATCTAAATTAATACTCTATGACTTCTTTACTTCCTAAGGGTAAAATGTGTTAATATAAAATCAGACTACTGTATTCTTACATTGTGTTGGCTTATCTTTCTCATTTATTCATTTATCTCATCAACAGTGTTTACTGTGATGTACCAGGCACTTTGTTAGACCTGAGAATTAGAAGATACATGACATAGATTTAGATTCTGACTTCAAAAAGCTTGATATCTATCTGTTGGGGAGAGGTGGAAATGTAAGACAGTAAGACAAATACTGTGATGGGGTGCTCCCCATAATCAAAACTATGACCTAAAAAAAGAGTATCTTAGACCCTTGGCCACCCCAGATTTCCTGCTAGGGGAGGCTGCCCAGTGTAGGTTCTGGTTTCATGAAGTACAAGATGGGATTGGTCCAGGTGGGGAGATGAGGGAAAGGTTTCCAGAGGAGAGAGAAGCATCTGCAGAAGCAGTCAGGCAAGAGGCAGCCATACGTCATTCATTTGGCTACTGTACCGAAAGTCAGAGTGGGTGGGAGTTGGGGGCAGAGACTGGTAGAGTCCAGCTCATGAAAGTCTTTGAAGGCCACCTTAGCTACGAGAAGGCAGGAGAAGATATTTAAGAATGGATAAGGTTTGATTTGAAATCCTATTTCCAAAGCAAGTAGAAAGTATTTCGTGGTTTTAGTAATTCTCTATGATGCCAGCTTTTTACTGGCATTGCGTAGTGTGGTCTCTTAGCTGACAAGTTATTTGGTTGGCGATGTGGATACAACAATAGAAAAGGGCACAGCTGGAATATCTGAATTTTATGTCTGATGCTGTAACGTATTTGTGTTTGGAAAATGCATTTGATTTTAAATCTAGGTGTTATGTTTTAGCTGTCTTTTTCCATAGTTAATTGTTTAAGTTTATAGGATGTCTGTCTGCAATCCATGTTAGTTTTATACATTGAAAGATTCTTTTCTGTTTTGAGATTTTTTTCTTTTTATATTATTGAAGATGCCAATTTAATCTTCTTCTGAAAACTGGGAGATAACCCAACTTCATTTATCTAACGTAATTCTAATGTGTTCCATGATTTTAACTAAGAGGTTTGTGTTGTGTGTAGTTGAAAAGACAATATTTTATACGTTTTTAAAACAGGTATTATGGAGCATCAGTAGGAACTTAAGAGAAGCCTGTTCCCTTCCAAAGAGTTATTTGAACCTTTATTTGAAGAAAGTTACTTCCTTGATGCTAAAGGGATCAGTTATGTGTGGAGCTTTGAGGTCATATTAAGGAAGATATTTTCTTTAAATTTCCACACATTGTGAGAATATATGCTTATAAAGAAATATATATGAATAAAATGTATTTTCATTTTTTTCCTGTGGTATTGCTTAGAAATTCCGTTTAATAGGGTGGCAGACATAATAGCATTATTCAGTAATAGATTATATATTACTATTCTCGTTTAGTATATACTAGATATATGCCTATGTTTCTTAACATTTGACTCATTGTATAGCAATTTTCCATATAATTGTTGAAAAAAAGAGGAGGAACATCTTTTAGGAATATTTTCTATAATTCCCAAACCAACGAATTCACCAGTTTTAATGATAGCTAAACTAGGCTTGGAATTTGCACTGAAAATTAATTGTAGTTATCTACAAATTGTGTTTGGTTCACCTATGCCTCTTTTTGTTTGAAATGATACTTCTTAACAAAATTTTCTTTTTTCATTTGTTTTAAAACTAATGCCAAGGATCTTCTTTGGCATTTAAATTTTCTTAAGCAAAACAGCCTGCAATTCCTGTTGAATATTCAAGAAGCAAAATATATCCCTGCTACTCTCTTTTTTCTTGGTGATTTGTTCCCTCATAAGCTGTCCGAGTAGGAAAATATATTTTTAAGTTGTTTTATTTCTGTATGTCCTAAAGATAATACTTTATAGATACAATAATGTCACATAAATCACCAATATCTGTAGTGATTATATTTTGGAAGTTTGCCCTTGTTCTCTTCTCCCACTCCTCTATGGAAAGGCTATGAAAACACATTTGATATTTTTGCAGCTTTCATTCTGTGGATGTGTATTTAAAATGTTCTTAAAGTTTTCTGGTTAAAATACTTTGAAATAATTAAACATTAATAATAGTTCATTTCAACTGTGAAATGAGACTACTGTCTTAAGACCAAGACATGAAAATGTCTAGACCAGAGAGACATTTCATGTCTTTAACTTCTGGTGCTTTTTATTAATTCTCTTATATTCTGCTTTCATGAGTCCTGGTTGGACCCTTCCTTAAGATGTAAAAGTCAAGATTACCATTAAAACACTGAAGTAGGGTAGAGTGTCTAACAAGAAATGTAAACCAATCAAGTGGGTATCTTACGGATCTTATGGCTTCCCAGCATTTCGTGTAAGCAGAAGACCCCAGAGGTACCTAGGAATACTGCTTTTTTAGGAAGTTCACCGTACAAGTATGTTTTCCTTGTCTCTCCCTCTTATGCCTTCTCCTCTGTAACATATTTTCACATAGAACATTTAGTTTGGCACTTAAAGAGACAAATTATTTTAGTGTTTTTTTTTTTCTTTTAGTTTTGATCACCTAATTAATTCATTTATAAAAAATCATGTATATACTTATTTTAGGCCAGGTGCAGTGACTCACGCCTGTAATTCCAGCACTTTGGGAGGCTGAGATGGGTGAATCCCTTGAGGGCAGGAGTTGAGACCAATCTGACCACCATGGCAAAACCCCATCTCTACTAAAAATAGAAAAATTAGCTGGCTGTGGTGGTGCGTGCCTGTAATCCCAGCTACTTAGGAGGCTGAGACAGGAGAATCACCTAAACCTGGATAGCGGAGGTTGCAGTGAGCCAAGATTGTGCCACCAAATCCCAGCCTGTCAACAGAAGGAGACTCTGTCTCAAAAATAAAATATAGGCCGGGCTCAAAAATAAAAAATAGGCCGGGCGCAGTGGCTCACGCCTGTAATCCTAACACTTTGGGAGGCTGAAGCGGGTGGATTGCCTGAGTTCAGGAGTTTGAGACCAGCCTGGGCAACATGGTGAAACCCCGCCTCTAAACTACAAAAAATTAGCTGGGCGTGGTGGCGTGCACCTGTAATCCCAGCTACTCGGTAGGCCGAGACAAGAGAATCACTTGAACCTGGGGGGCGGAGGTTGCAGTGAGTTGAGATCATGCCATTGCAGTCTAGCTCAGGTGGCAGAGCGAGACTCCATCTCAAAAAAAGAAAGAAAGAAAGAAATGAAATAAATAAATATACTTATTTTAAATTCTTTTATATTAGTCTTTCAAAGTAGTAGTATAAGTGAGTTTGTATTTCTCTTGTATTTTAAATTATTTAACATTTGAACCATTGATGTCACCACTAGATTTACTTTGAAGAGTAAATGATGCCAGAGCTCTTGAAGTTTAGGGTAACTATGGCCATATTTTCACAAAATCATAAACAGACAGAGTTATTTTTCTTTATATTGCTACTAGCCATATGTTAAAGGAGAAAATCAGCTCAAATGGGTGAATAAACTGTCTCTGGGTGAAATACGGGGGGTGGGGGGTAAACCTTGTTAAGAAATTTATGCATACTGTTATTTCAGAGCATATCTGTTTACTACTGTTAATGCTTTTTATTGTATTCACAAAACAGACTCAGACCAAAAAGAGAGCATTTTTTCCCCGTTGTTCTAGCATGTATATGAATTTAAGGAAGGAGATGGGGCTGGGAAAAATTCAGAAATAATCAGGCAAGAACTATTAAGAAAATGCTCAACTAAGCATGAACTTGTTTAAACAACTATCAAGACTTTTTATAGCTTTTTTATCATTTGTTTTGGAGTGAGCAGTGGAATACGACAAAATTTTCACGTGTGCTCTTCAGCAAGAGACTTGGAAATACTTATGTATGCGCATTATCTCACAGTACCCTTCTCATTTAAAATGAGGAGACGTGTTCTTTTTCCTCGTTTTCCTAATGGGAGGCTTGAGACCCAAAGAGGCCAAGTGGCTGGACCAGTGAGATGGCGTGGAACTGGAATGGTCAGTTTTTGACTCAGATTTGGCACTCAGATTTGCTGTGTACATTCTAGGAAAGTTTTCCAGATTGGTAGAGCCAGTACATGTTCCCTAGTTTTTTAAGCATTTAATTTGGCATCTCCTTTTGTCATCATTGTAGGAGCTGTTTAGAATGTCATCAAGAATTGCTGATTAAATAGTCACTACTACTTTGAGTAAAAATTCAGTGCTTTCACATCACTCTGGCAAAATTAAGGAGAGCTTAAGAATTTCTGGTGAACCCCCAAATAAAGCCCTTTATGTCTACATTGTTGAGATTATGTTCCTGTGCTTGACTTCTTTTTTTTTTTTTCCTGACCAGTACTAAGCATTTGGATTTCACTTAAATGCCTTCAGAGTCTAGTTCTACTCTAGCACTGAGCAGCTGAGCACAATAGAAAGTTGACTTTGGTTTTCCCTTTCATATTCTTTTTTTTTAATCAGGGAGTGTTATGATTCTGGTTTGTAAGACATTCTTGTTATACTTTTGCTGTATAACAAATCTTTGCTCTTAAATAATAGACAATGTTTGTTGCAGTATAGAAACATACTTGTTTTTAGATCAGTGATGCAAGTATTTTCTAAAATCTCTTGACATTTTTTCCAGTCCATCCTCTCAAGATGGAAGCGTATATTGTCCCCATCAGCTGTTACATTAGGCAGTCCACGTACATGTATTCAATATCTAAGGTTGTTTTGGAGTATTTTGCCAGTAATGTATCTCCATTTTCTCAGATGGAGAAATAAGGGTATTTTCTGAGCTTCACAGCCCCGTTTTTATGAGACCCTGGGCTATTCATGCAATTCTGTCTTGTAGTCTCGGTGTTTTATAACATGAGAATGATTAACTGTATCCGTAGATGATCAGAAAGTTATTTGCTGTTCTCAGGTCAGTGGAGGGATCTTTCCCCCAAGTACTGAGAGTATTAATCTACTTGCTGTAGACACAGTGTGGAAGACTGGGTCAGTGGCAGTGCTTGGTAGAGCACAGGCAGATCTTTTTGGATTCTCATAGAAAAAGCAGGGATAAAATGTTGGGATCAGTTAAGGAAAGGATAACAGTCCCCACTTTTTCTACCTGCTGGTTTCGAGAATTGGATATGTGTGAAGCATCTGCACGCTTACTTGGAGTGGGTAGGCTGTCTGGTTATGTCAACCCTTATGGCTTCTCTTGGTGAAGATGGCCAGCCTGGGAGCAGTGAGCCCTCTTCCTTTTCATTAGGTAAGTTCATGGACTTCAGTGACCGACATGGTTATTCTGTTTGTTAATCCAAATTAAATTACCTTTCTAAGAAACAAGTGCGTATGAATACAGCTTTGGTTTTTTGTCCTCTTGTTGAGAAGTTTGCTAAACTCATAAAAACTGATCGTTTCTAAAAGGCCTTTGATCTTGTATTTTCTGATGCCAGTTTGTTGTTCGGAAAGATTTCTTTTCACTTCTTACATTTAGGTGTAATTTCACCTTCATACTGAAATTCACAGCTTTCTGAGGCATTGAGCATAATCACATTTTACCCAAACCCTCCCCTGTTGGCATGTCAGTCAGTGAGACCTCAGCATGGATAGGTGGCTCAGTCATCAGAACTCCCCAGCGTGAACAATGTTGTAATTACATTAACCAAATGTGACTGACATTTTGTGAGTTTTTCTGTCTTCATTAAACTTGTTCACCTTCTCTGAAACCCTTCATGCTGCACGCTAGCACGGAGCAGCCGTATCCCTCGACCCAGCATGAGTCAGGGGTGCAGCCGCGATACCAGCCGTGAGAGCAGCCGAGATACAAGCCCTGCTCGGGGCTTTCCTCCACTTGGTGAGTACACGTAGGCGCTGGCTGAGGAGCAAAGAGTTCCTTACCCTGCTTGTCCAAGACACTGCTAGGTGGAATGACCTGCTTTTCCTCCTCTACTGTCCTTGTGGTCCTTTCTTCTTTCTTTCCTCTTCCTTAGTTACCCCGTTGTCCCCCTCTGCATGCTTGAATTCTGGCAACTTCGAATTTTTATATATTAGAGGAAAAAAACACCACTTCACTCTGTACTGTTGTCATTGATGACCACTTGCTCTCAGCAAGCCCATCTGTGTTGTCATTTCTAACCGAAGGCAAAACTCAGCCGAAGTTCGTTGCTGCTTAAAAATAAAGTTAATCCAAAGTTTATTCTGAGTCATTGACTTTTTACAATTTATCTTTAATTCTACTACAGATCAGTCTGTGTGTAATTTAATTCAAAGAAGGAGCAAAAGTACAATTGCAATAATGTTTAGAAAAGTAAATGAGTTTTCTGTTTAGTGTTAATAGTCCTGCCTTCTAAAATGGACACATAATAAACCCTTTTTAGTTAGTATAAACTGTTGATCGCCAAAAGATATCTGTCAGCACATACTTTTGTGAAAAGGAATATTTTGTATTCTTCAATAATTATTTTTGGCTGCTTGCCATGTTAAGTGCTGTACAGATGTCCATTTTCCTCTTGATAAGCATAAACGTAGAAATCATTTTGTAATAATTAGACCTAGACCTGAAATTATATGGATCTTTGGACTCCAGCAGTCTGTTAATTTTAACTATGTATTTATATAACTGGTCTTTTGAAAACTGTACATGTCACTACGAAAGAGGGATGTTAAAAGCATAAGGTCTTAATATATGCCTCTACCTAGCTCGTTCTAAAAATGTTATTCACTGCTTCTGATCTTTTTTCCCTAATCAGTATCGATAATAAAAATCTAGATACATTTCTTTATGACCCATTGTCCTTAATGAGATTCTGAAAAAGAACAGGCAACCACATGCCAAAGCCCTGCTAGACGGTCCCTGTGATTTAGCGAGGCAATACCTGTTGTGAGGTGTTCCACCTTGTTAGCATGAGCCCCTGAGTGGGGCGGCTTACCTGTTGCATGTCACCTATTCCACAGCAGTCTGAAGCATTACAGCAGAATTCTCAATAATCAGAGGTGGCAATGATGATTTTTTTTTTTTTTTTTTCTGAATGAACTGGTGATTTTTCCTTTTAAATTAAGGCTGTATATCTTTGCATCCTTGCTCACTATTTGAACTTCTGAACAACCTATTTATGAGTGAACAATTCAGTCCTTTATTCGTTATTTTGTCTCTTAGAAGCAATTCAGTGTTTTCCTTTCAAATATGTACTGTTATTTTTGATACTGTCCGTGGAAGCCTCCTTTGGTATCTGGCACGTGGAGCAGGCGAGGTGTGCTGAATTCTTGAGACCCTAATTGAACTCTGAGTGGTTGAGTGAATCTTGTCTGTTTTGTGCATTGTTTGATTAAGTGGATCTGCTTAGCTGTCTTGGTGACAACCCAGAATGTTGAAATGTATAATTGCCACTACCAAGGCAGAAGGTGTGGGTCCTCACAAACTCTAGCATCAGCACATGTCTTCTGTTGTGGTCAGGGCAGTAGTTAAGTTCTTCGAGCTAAATTTTTGTATCATGCGTTTCCCCTCCTTAGGTTAAACCTAACCCTAAAACTTATGTCCGGCAAGAACAACAGCATTGCTCATGTGTACGCACACCATTTGGAGCAGTCAGGAAGCATAATGCTGTGTGGTCCCTGTTCATCCTCTGGGACAGGTATCATCATCATCAGAGTCTTAGGGAGAATAAGCCACTTTCTCAGGATCACACAGCTAAATGGTGGAGCCAGGGTTTGAATTCAGATTTGACTTCAAGCCTGCCTCATTTGGAAGTAGTTTGGATAATTCAGTGTTTTTCATCTGTTCCTTGAAAATATGTTAAATGCTCGTTCTGAGGCTTCTTGATGGGAGGGTGATTAGAAGATGTTTCTGAATCATTTATTCCCAGGCTTGGGGTTAGGACCTGGGAACTCAAAGATACATCCCAGAAGGTTGTTGTCCTCAGGGGAGCTTACTACACATCCTCTGAAGGTTTCTTCTTTAGCTCATTAATTTTAATAATCTCTTCCCACCCCTTTTGGAAATTAGTGAGATCGTGTGTCAGTGCTTCTTTGAATCCACTTACATAACCAACTCTTTAACAACGACAAAAAAAGAGTAAAAGTACTTATATTCTAGTGAATATATATTTTTAAGTTTGCATTTTTATTGTTTTGGACCATTTCGATGGTACGAATGTATATGGTTATTGTGAGAATTTTTGATTAAGGGAAATAAGGGCTCTGGGGTGCTGTAAATTAGGCTCTCACATAAGTGGGTCTGCCTAGGATTCCAGTGTTGGGTGTTAACTTGTGAATGTGACAGAGGACTCATGGCATGACAGATTTTTTTTAGAATATTCTGTTGAAACTGAACCAAAGGACCACTTGGTAAGGAACCTGCATATCAGGTACTGCTTAAAAACGATTTCAGTCTGAACTATCAAGATAGTGATGTGCTTGTACAAAAATGTATAGTTTGCTTCAGTCTTAACACAAGATATTTTACCAACTTCCTTTTTTAGGGAAAGTGATAATTTTATAATATTCTTTGCCAATTTAGTTTTAATTTTTGTGAATCTTGAGAAAGGGATATTTTCCTTTTTTTGCAAACTGGTAAAAATTGCCAGGTAATCTTTGCTATTTAATACCACATGTGCCATAGGGATGCACATTTTACAAAGTAACATGGACCTTAAAAATTATATTAAAGAATTCGAGGTATTGATATTTTATGACTGAATGTGAGAGCGTTAACATGTACAGAATAGTAGTATGGATAAAATGTGGCACTGCTCAGTATTATTTTGTTAAACCTATAAATTTTCTGTGGTATAATCACTGTGAATTTTTCAGAGTAATGAATGGAAGAATATTATCTTTTGTTTTTTCCTGAGGTTAAGGAAAAGCCATATGTTGCATGGAACTATAGTCAATAAGTTAATGTTTTGAACCAAGTCTTTATTTCATAATTATTTCTAAAAGTTACTTTCTCTCCACATGAGGACAGAATTTAGCATGTATTTCCTCAGGTTGATGAAGTAATATGCTCTTTAGGAATACTTGTTAATAAAATGGTACTATAATGTCAGATCGTAAATTGGAGGTTGCTCTTATCTGTTACTGCCACCACCAGCACTACCAACGCTACTAACCATTGTTTAAGTGCTTTATAGCCTCTTTTAATCCTCTCAGTAACTCCCAAGAGGTAGGTAACATTAACCGTTATTAGCACCATTTTACAGATAAGATACTGAGACACAGATAGATTTAGTACTTTGCCCAAGGTCAGTCCTATGGCTAGTTGTGATCCAACCAGGGTTTACAGCTGCATTACTGAGCTGGTACTCATAACCAGTGTACTGTAACTGCTTCTCCAGGGAAAAATCATTAAACTTAATACAACCAAATTCCAACAATTACACAAGTACTAATAATTAGGATATGGTCGGGCGTGGTGGCTCACGCCTGTAATCCCAGCACTTTGGAAGGCTGAGGTGGGCAGATTGCTTGAGCCCAGGAGTTCGAGACCAGCCGGGCAACATAGGGAGACCTCGTCTCTACAAAAAAAATAAAATAAAATAAAAAAAATAAAAAGCCGGGTGTGCTGGCACATCCCTGTAGTCCCTGCCACTTAGGAGGCTGAGGCAGGCGGATCTGCTTGATCCTGAGCCATGATTGCGCCATTGCGCGTCAGCCTGGGCAACAGAGTGAGACCTTGTCTGAAAATAATAGTAATAATAATAATTAGGATATTCATGCAACAGAACAACAAACATTTTGACTGGGGAAAATGGAATTCCAACTGTTGAATCCCCTTCCTGTGATTTCATTTTATTTCCGTTGAAGTAACATTATGAACTTCTATGCTTGTTTTTGGTGCATGGTTGCATATGCATCACGTACTGTGAGCTGAGTTAACAGTCCGTCTTACTGCCGTTCCACTCTGGGATGTAGACGGTGCTCTGTGACTCCTGCTGTTCTTCATGTTGCATATTTCCATACTGGCTGATAGAGGCTTCATGGCGTGAAAATAACCCTGGAGTCCGAGTTGGTTGATGCATAGTTTGGAGCACCTTTAAGAGTGCCTTTGTTGTACCTGTGTGTTTAATAGCTGTGCGAGAGCCAGCGGGCCACTGTGGAGTTTGGGGACTGGCACTTGCTGTCCATTCATATCCAGCACCATTTCTTCTCATGAGAAAACATGGCCTTGTTGGTAGCAGTCCCTGCATTTCCTTTGGACTGTGGCGTTTTCTGTCTCTGGTACTTCTGTGTTAATCCTGTGGGTGTTGCCATTCCTTTTACCTGCAGCCTCTCGACGTCATTCCAGGTCCACTAGTGCTCTCTCCACTGCTGAATCTGTTGGGCAGTCAGGTGAACAAGTGCTAACTGCATGACTTGGCTTCTTCATATGTTCTAGTTTCACACCCATGTTAACATTTGTTTTCATCTGTGTCGGCTAGCACTTGGCATGTATGCACCTCATATTTTTTTCCCCAATGTGCTTTAATTTTTTTAAGTTATTGAATGTTTATAGTTCTGTTAATAGGCTGTAGATGCTTTATAGCCTGTTTGACAACATCGTTTCTCCAGTATTCATATTTACGTTAAAACAAAACAAAAAACGGGGAAGTAATTCCCTTCCTGCCACTCTGTCCCCAGGAAAATAACCAAAATTAGGTATTATTTAGGGTTCCTGTGGGGCAAGGGGGCATGGATATCACCCAACAGATTCCCTTCCAAAGTCTTTACTCCGAATAAACTGCCAAATATTAATGCTAGTTATTAATGTCAAGTTCACATTTTTAAAGGTACCATTTAGTTAACAGTGTTGCAAATTATAGCATACATAATTTCATATGTATGAAAATAAGTGTATTGTTCTCAAAGTTTTATGGAAAAACAAGATCAGGATTCAGGTAATCAAGTCAGGCCAGAGGTATCCTTTGCAGCCTGCAAACCCCAAACCTGCTCTCTCAGTTCTGTTTAGCAATACTCAGCATCCACTGGTTAGCCACACTGGCAAAAAGTAAGCATACAGTAATACATCAGTTTGTTAGATTTCATGCTAACAGTCCCTAATGACTACAGTTTTCTCAATTGAGTAAGGTAGAATCTATGAATTTGCGGACCGTTGATGGTGACAATTGTTACCAATTCACTGAGTCCGGTATTTTCTCTTTTTTTCCTCTAAATGAAGCCCCCTATACTTTGTTTGTTTGTTTTTGGTTTTGGTTTTTGGGTTTTGAAACAGGGTCTCACTTGTTGCCCAGGCTGGGAGTGTAGTAGCGTGATCTCGGGTCACTGCAACCCCTGCTACCTGGGCCCAAGCGGTCCTCCCACCTCACTCCCCAAGTAGCTGGGACTACAGGTGCGTGCCACCACACCCAGCTAGTTTCTGCTGTTTTTGTAGAGACGGAATTTCACCGTGTTGCCCAGGCTGGTCTCAAAACTCCTGGGCTCAAGCGATTTACCCACCTTGGCCTCCCAAAGTGCTGGGATTACAGGCAAAGCCACCATGCCCTGATTATGTATATATTATGTATATATACATATATTCTGATTATGTATATTTCCCTGAAGATTAGGGGCCAGACTGAGAGCACAGTCATATGTGTTCATCTCTTGGAAAAATTGAACTTTTAATAGTATCAGAGCCTTGAGAATATGGAACAGATTTTGCTCTGGTGAAAACACAAAGCTTATAGTTTTGCTTAGATCTGGATAAACATTTCCCCTTAAGATTTGAAATTCAAATTGTCTATGATATATATCAAATGATCTGTAGTCACTGTGTATGGCAAATCTGTATGCATCTTGGAAGCACAGAATAATTGCATTGTTCTTATAGTTTTAATTTTGTGTCTGAAAAAACCTGTATTCTCCCTGGAGCAAGAATTGCTGGCATGAGATTTTTTTTTTTTTTTTAATTTTGTTAGACTTCGTTTTATTTAAGTTTATGCTGGGTAATTTTTTAATGGCTTATAATTGAATTACTTTCATTCTGTTACTCATAAATCTACTATCTACCCTTTTTTAATGAAAAAAAACTTGAACAAGGATCATCTATAAAACTATATGTGCACAGTAAATCTCACATTTACACTTGTTTCATATTTCAACTGATAAATATAGATATATGTAACTTTTAATGGCCTGTTTTAGTTTATATGGCACATTACCTTTTAAACATAATGACTAAGATGACAGTTGGAATGACTAGCAAATGCATTAAAAAAGGGGATAGTATAACATACAGTTTTTGTTTCTTTTAAAAAATTCATGACTGTATAACTATTGATAAGCAGTGTTTAAATTTTTCTCCCTTTCTATGGTGGTGGAAGGTATAATGTTTTGAAATTGACATTTTTAAAAAGCTAAATAACAATTCGCTTTTTAAGTTCACCAGTTTTGTAGGCACTGTCTTGTTACATATCTAAAATTTTAAATACGTTGTTTTATAGGAAAGATCAATTCATGTAAAATTAGCTTCCCTTTTATTCTAGATGCTTCTAGAATGTGGCTAACATAGAGATTTTCCTTGTCCAATGTCTTATTTGTTAACACAGAGAAAATAGAACATATTTTATCGTAACATTTTTCTTCCAAAGGTTTTTATATGTTAGACTTTTAAATAAGAAATTTTTTACTGGTAGATAATGTATAACACACTTAATGAAAATACGACTTACACTGCCTTTCTCCTAGTATAATTTTAATCTCCAGCACTTCCTAAGGAAGGTTGGTCAGCTAATTTAATGGGACTTTAAAAAGTCACTTTTCATTTCCATGTTCACAAATAAACTTAAAATTATTGTTTGAACTACTAAATTTGTTTTAAATTCTTTGGATTCTTTCTGTTATTTTGTTTATCTGTATAAAGATTACCATTAGGAACCCAAGTAAAACTTATATTATCTAAATTTTTAATGTTCATCAGTGAAAGTGCAAGATTTTTGGTGATTATTAATTTTAATAAATTGATTTTTAAGTAATTTTTGTTGACACAGGTATCATGACGAACAAATATCTAAAATGAGTTTAGCAATAAAGAGTAGTGACACTAATAAAAATTTGCACAGAAATCAATTTGTTTCAAATTTTAATTTTTTACCACACATTGCATTAGAACTCTTATGAAACCATGAAGCTTTCTAATTAGTTTGACCAAACATCAAGGCCACTTGCCTCTATAGGGAAAGCTAAATAGATTAAAAGATTCAACTCATAGCCCAGCTCCCATAAGTTCCCCCTTCCCTCTCATATCTCAGAAACTTTTCAATAATAAAATATCATGTTTGAACAATTTTGAGTGACAGTGCTTTGTGGCACAATAGCATTAAATGTGAACAGCTTAACCTCTACCACTGGTAAAGTCAAGTGTAGTTAAAATTGGCCAGAGATTTTTCAGTGCTTCTGTCTACTTGGTGGGAAGAGGCAGTAGTCCTTGCAAGGAATTGAGATAATTTCAATTAAAGTGACACATCTTTTGCTTTTGTTTTTTAAGTAGATCGATTTGGGCTTGGCCAGCCAGGAAGAATACCTGGTTCTGTGAATGCCATGAGAGTTCTGAGCACAAGTACAGATCTTGAAGCTGCTGTTGCTGATGCTTTGGTAAGAGGCACAGTATGTATGTAAACAGAGTCAGTTTGAAATACTCATCTGCATTTCTCTCTGTCTTAATAGGAAATTGCCCCCAAATCAGGTTATTAAATCATCTTTGACACTCTTTAAAATTGTGTAACTGTTGGGTAAATTTATATTGTTATTGTTTGCTCCTTAAACTTTTATCTCTGCATGCATATAAGTGCAAATGGACTTTACAGAAAATATTAGCGTCAAGTATTTCTTATCGGTGCTCTTCAGTATCAAGGAGCTTTTGATGACACTGGACTTCTCAGATGTCACTGGGCTTCTTTTTTTCTTTTTAACCATGTTTTTTTTTTTTTTTTTTTTTTTCCTCTGGCACTTCCTTTTTTCGATTCTGTTATTTGGAGTGCTTTACCGACATTGCTGGCATAACCTAGACATTTTATTATTGTAATAGGTAATAGAGTTTGAGGTTTGAAAATCTTGCGTTTATTCTATTATCTTGTCCGTTTGATTTTA